GTTGTGGTTAAGGGTATGACTTATAGGCTGGATTATTATGAGCCTGCGCTCCTCCCCGGTAAAGACGGCTGGGAGAGCGGCGGAAGTTAGCCTATTATTTTTTCTAGTTGTTTAGCAATCCCGACATTAAGCAAGAATGGCTTCCTTTATAAAGCGGTTTGATTCTCCCGTGACTGCTATCCTAAAACTGAACAGTCAGCTTTTCCCTAACTACTGTCTTTGGGGATTCCTCTCAATTTTCTCGGGTATAGGAAAATGACTAGAGTATTATTCTACCAGCATCAGTATACAAAGATTTATAAAACTAGCTTACCCATGGTGGCTAGTTCCCACAAAACAACTCCAAAAGACCATCTGCAGTAAAAGGAAGCAGATAAAGAAATAGCAAGAATTAACTTCATAGAAATATCAATTTTGTTTATCTCGTCCCATGGATGGTAATCCAGGAAATTTTTGTTTGGGGTCATGGACTTTGGAATCCGGAATCCTGCTAACTATGAAATTCTGGAATCTGGGCCTTTTGAAATCTGGAACACACTGAGTTGGAATCCGGAATCTAGTATCTGGAGTGCGGGATGTGGAGCGTGGAATCTAGGATCCAAGATCGTCTCAGATTAACTTCATCGGCTCAAAGTTTCTGTTTATATATCTTATTTTCAAGTTTCACTCCTGGAACAGGCTAATGTTTTCCAAACACTTGAGTATTTCTTTAGATAGAGTGATAACCGCTACTGTAGACAGTGTCATGATCAAAATTGTGCTCTTTTTTTTTTTTTTTTCAGACTGTTCTAAACAGTACATTGCAAGGTCTATGTTGAATAAAACCTCAACTTCACACTGCATCACAGGAAGCCTAAGCTTGGCCTTACTGTGACCTCGTTAACATATACTTACACGTCAGTCTTGAAAGTAAAAATGCCGCTTCCCAACGCCTCAGGTGCCATCCATTTCATTGGTAGCTTGTGTACGCTCGTAACTTCGTATATTTCACTCTCATTTGCGTGGCGTAACAAACCAAAATCAGCAATCTTCACCGCCTTGTCCTCACCAAGTAGGATATTACGGGCTGCCAGGTCACGATGAATGAATCCTTTGCTGGCCAAGTATTCCTGGCAGAGAAATAACGAAATTAACCACAGGTAAATCCTTCCCTATGGTTCTCGATCTAAGGCACGCCTCTTGACCGCTAATTAAGAGCTGCCATCCTTCACTCTAGCCAGTATTCCCGATGGAAGTCTCCCAGGTGGTCTCTTTCCTGGTATTCTTCCCTCAATAACTAATGGGACATGATCACCATGTCGCAGGGTATGACCAAGCCAGCTTCTCTGTCTTCTGTTGATAACAGATATGATGGCCCTCTCCTCACCGTCACGCCTCAATACTTCTTCGTTACAGACTTTCTCAGACCAAGTTATGTTTAAAACCTTTCTCCAAAGCCACATCCCACAGCTCTCCAGCCTTCGCACGTCCTCTTTCTTTAAGCTCTATCATTCGGCTCCATTCAGAAGAGTACCCCAGATGACAGTCTTTATAATTCTCTTCTTCAGGCAAAGGCTAGCGCGCTGAAGGCTTTTGTCGGCAGTTCCTTTTTCTTAGTAAACGCGTTTTTGGGCTATTCTCGATCTAATTTATTTTTCACAGGATCCATTCTGTGTAATAAGGCTCCCAAGGTAGTTAAAGTAAGACGATTCTTGACTTAAGTGATTACCCTCAAGAAAGATCGTAAATTCCTCACCGGGCCTCCTACTGATTTTCTTCGCCTTAGTCTTCTTAACATTGATCTTCATATCATATTCTCCCGCGCTTTCCTGCATTTTACCCGTCATAAGTTGCAGACGCATAACTGAACTGGCTAAGGTTGCTTGATCATCCGCAAAGCGCACTGTCTTAATGAGATGACTTCCCACTCGAATAACTTCATTCACACCACTTAAAGCATCTCTTAGCATGGCTTCAGAATATATGCTAACGAGTACGGGGGATAAACGAGCTAACTTATCTAGTGCCACGGCCAATCACTGCTGGTACGGATTGAATTCTGCGATTTCAAAATGGCTGTAATAAAGTGATAATTTCACTTCGTGTCGTGCAATTTTAGTCTTAAATCATACTTCTGATCTCAAATCGAACTCGCGCGCGAAATCACGCGTATGATTTCAGACCAAATTGCTCTCCACTCAGTTCAATGACCATCATGCATGTATTATCAATTTACCAATCTCCAGGAGGGATTAAAATAACGTAATTTATTATATAGACACGAGTGTTTTACTGGAAAATATACCACTCGTAAAATTCATAAAAACTACATCCGGGACCCGAGTGGTTTATTTTCCATAATCTCACACGTGAGTTTATCGATGACGTAATTTCCGCTATTATTTTATCGACGTCTTTTTGTCTATATAATGAAAAGAACATTACACGGCGGCTTGAAGATATGAATTTTATTTTCGAGTGACAAAAGCAATATTGCGCTCGTTCGTAAAATATTGTTTTGCCACTCGAAAATAAAATTCATATCTTCGCGCTACCGTGTAATATCCTCTATGTACAAGTTTAGCATTACTGAGTATTCATTTCGCCGAGTGACACGTGATATCAGGTCAAGTTGTGGTTAAGGGTATGACTTATAGGCTGGATTATTATGAGCCTGCGCTCCTCCCCGGTAAAGACGGCTGGGAGAGCGGCGGAAGTTAGCCTATTATTTTTTCTAGTTGTTTAGCAATCCCGACATTAAGCAAGAATGGCTTCCTTTATAAAGCGGTTTGATTCTCCCGTGACTGCTATCCTAAAACTGAACAGTCAGCTTTTCCCTAACTACTGTCTTTGGGGATTCCTCTCAATTTTCTCGGGTATAGGAAAATGACTAGAGTATTATTCTACCAGCATCAGTATACAAAGATTTATAAAACTAGCTTACCCATGGTGGCTAGTTCCCACAAAACAACTCCAAAAGACCATCTGCAGTAAAAGGAAGCAGATAAAGAAATAGCAAGAATTAACTTCATAGAAATATCAATTTTGTTTATCTCGTCCCATGGATGGTAATCCAGGAAATTTTTGTTTGGGGTCATGGACTTTGGAATCCGGAATCCTGCTAACTATGAAATTCTGGAATCTGGGCCTTTTGAAATCTGGAACACACTGAGTTGGAATCCGGAATCTAGTATCTGGAGTGCGGGATGTGGAGCGTGGAATCTAGGATCCAAGATCGTCTCAGATTAACTTCATCGGCTCAAAGTTTCTGTTTATATATCTTATTTTCAAGTTTCACTCCTGGAACAGGCTAATGTTTTCCAAACACTTGAGTATTTCTTTAGATAGAGTGATAACCGCTACTGTAGACAGTGTCATGATCAAAATTGTGCTCTTTTTTTTTTTTTTTTCAGACTGTTCTAAACAGTACATTGCAAGGTCTATGTTGAATAAAACCTCAACTTCACACTGCATCACAGGAAGCCTAAGCTTGGCCTTACTGTGACCTCGTTAACATATACTTACACGTCAGTCTTGAAAGTAAAAATGCCGCTTCCCAACGCCTCAGGTGCCATCCATTTCATTGGTAGCTTGTGTACGCTCGTAACTTCGTATATTTCACTCTCATTTGCGTGGCGTAACAAACCAAAATCAGCAATCTTCACCGCCTTGTCCTCACCAAGTAGGATATTACGGGCTGCCAGGTCACGATGAATGAATCCTTTGCTGGCCAAGTATTCCTGGCAGAGAAATAACGAAATTATTTCTCAAACCATTTTTAGTTACCAGATACCTTTAGATCACCAGAAATTTCCAATATGAAATTAAAATGGAAGCTCGATTTTACGATATGGCAGGGGGATGGCAGTTTAATCGGGATATCGTTGTAAACGAACTCCCGATTTAACGATCTGGCGGAAAAGCAACCAAGTACAATGAAACGTATGCTCCAGGCTCAAAGATAGCCGCCACCGCCTCTTTTTCCTAGATCACGCTTTTATATTTTTGCCAGTGCCTTACGCTTTTTTGCCTTATTTTTGCCGGGGCCACCCCTACTATCGAGAGCCTGGAACAGGCTACTGCAAGCTGTGTCTGGCAAACGGTCCGGAAAGCGGGAGGAAGTGATCGTCGGTCTATTCATGAAGAATGGAGGGAGGATTTCCGTCACAGCTGTTGGAAAACAAGAAACAAATTAAGGAATTGGCCAAGAAATCCCCGCGACGTATACTTTTCAGCATAAAAAGCCGTTGAACAAGCTAAGTGAACTACAGTCGAGTCCAGCTCGAACCCTCGCTAACTCGAACCAGAATCGATTTCCCCTGGATTTTCTTTATTGTAATTTACCGTCGGTAACTCGAACCCTCGATAACTCGAAACTCCCGCTAACTCGAAGTAATTTTTGTTTTCCTTCAGATCACTTTCATACAAGTTTACCCTCGATAACTCGAAGAGATGAGTATTGGCTGAAAAATAAGGTTTTTAAGTTTTTCAACCGCGAAAGAAAGCCCGTTGACACCGGTTGACACTTAATTAAATGCTGTTTTTCAGGGAGACTTGTGGTGAGTGGAATCAAGCCCTCATTGGACTGCCAAACCCGAAAAAGAAAAAAAAAACCATTGGTTCTTACTATACTGCTGATTTCTATTTCGAAGTCACCAAAAACGGCATACCTCAGTGAACATTATTCATTTAGAGATTAGATTTTTTTCGTTAAAAAAGGTTCATTCATACCAATGAATAAACAGCAATTATTGGATGAGGCAGAGTTATGCTGATCACCGGGAGAGAGTTATTAGCTAAACCCAAAAGCCAAATATACAGCTGAGCCACCAGATATATCAATTGAGCTTACAACAGTTAGCAAATACCATCATGGTGGCCGTTTACAAAAAGCAATCCCTTAGCTTCAGCCATCAGTTCCACTTGCAGACCGTTTATTGTGCTTTCCAAGATTTCGATTACGGGCGTATTTATCTAGAAAGTCCTTGCTGCTCAGTCTTCCAGTCCCGAAAACAAATTTAACCATTGCTTTTTCTTCCCTCTACTTCCCTTCTTTTCTCAGGGACGTAGCCAGCCCATAGCCTTGTAGGTCCAGGCCTTCAAATTTTTTGGTTTGATCACTCTACCGCTTGTAATAAATTATGCGTTGTTGGAGTCAGCTGAAAAAACACAAGAGCTCAAAGTGTTGGTGAGGTCTGTGCGTACTGGTTATGCTAACAATTTTCAGAATATGTGGAAGTGAAAGTCAGCCAGGCCTAAAACTAGCCAAAAAGCTGGCTACGTCCCTGAATGTCAGGCTTATACGATTCAAATTAAATAACTGATAGCTTAGCCTTATTCAGGTGATATGGCTGTATTCATTAGACGCCTTTTCGAAAATACGAACGNCCAAATATACAGCTGAGCCACCAGATATATCAATTGAGCTTACAACAGTTAGCAAATACCATCATGGTGGCCGTTTACAAAAAGCAATCCCTTAGCTTCAGCCATCAGTTCCACTTGCAGACCGTTTATTGTGCTTTCCAAGATTTCGATTACGGGCGTATTTATCTAGAAAGTCCTTGCTGCTCAGTCTTCCAGTCCCGAAAACAAATTTAACCATTGCTTTTTCTTCCCTCTACTTCCCTTCTTTTCTCAGGGACGTAGCCAGCCCATAGCCTTGTAGGTCCAGGCCTTCAAATTTTTTGGTTTGATCACTCTACCGCTTGTAATAAATTATGCGTTGTTGGAGTCAGCTGAAAAAACACAAGAGCTCAAAGTGTTGGTGAGGTCTGTGCGTACTGGTTATGCTAACAATTTTCAGAATATGTGGAAGTGAAAGTCAGCCAGGCCTAAAACTAGCCAAAAAGCTGGCTACGTCCCTGAATGTCAGGCTTATACGATTCAAATTAAATAACTGATAGCTTAGCCTTATTCAGGTGATATGGCTGTATTCATTAGACGCCTTTTCGAAAATACGAACGGACCTGATTTTTCATTAGGTTCCTTCACGACGGCTCCATGTGATTTTTAGGCTTCTCGGGCTTTAAAAAAACTCTTTTTTTTTAAATCAAGCGGCTCAATTTTATGTGAGCTATGTTTCACGAAAAATTTAGCAAGATAGTAGTTAGCCCTATAATGGTCTGTTATAATTAACGCAGCAATTTGAATGCTTGAAAAATCTGCCGTCTCATGACCGGATAGCGTAATACTTGCAGACACAAAAAAACTAGTAGTAAAGTATTTTAAATACGGGGAAGAGGCAGATTTTTGTGATTTGCAAACGATGACTAAATTGCTAAAGACATTCTTCAGTCGAAAAAGTTCTTACCATCCCTTTAGCAATCTGCCACGCATAACATAGAACTTCTCTCCCAGAAATGTCTTCTTCATCATCATCTTCCTTGCCCTCACAGCTGCCTTCTTCTTTCTCGATGGTGATCTTTTCTTCGACGTTTCTTAAAGGCTCAGCGGGAGTGAGCTCTTTTTCTTTGGAGAAATGGGCAATGCTGATCGAAGGTAACACCATCACCGACGTAACCGGTTCCTTTCGCTCTTCATTTTGTAGAAATAACGTGTTGACATCATCTTCTTCCTCCTTGTCATCTTCGTCTTCCAGGCTTGAGCAGAGAGGTTCCATCTCAGATCGAGGAGCATCGTTGATTAGAATTCCTTTTTCAACGTCGTCCAGGTCGATTTTAATTTCCTTCGTCCCGCAAGAATGATAACCACCGTCTTTTCCACTTTCTTCATTATTTCTTTCCCTGTTCTCTTCTTTCAGGTTTTCATCCAAGACATCTTTTGTTTGCAGGTTCCTGGACACCAATTTCGGCCTCTCAGGAACAGGAAGCTTAAGCCTTTCAACGACATCACTTTGCCGACTCTTTTTCATTATAAGCTGCAAAAAAATATTGAAATGAATTCCGTCTGATCATGAAAGGGTTTTGTCAACAGAAACAATTTCCACACTATCAGTTGGTTAGCCGAAATATTTTTACCCATTTATAGGAAATCCATGCGAATTGAAGATTACTTAACCGACGTTAAACTGAAAATCTAGCCGGGAATACCGTATGGGCCAACTTTCTTTAAATCGTCCACGGAAAATTCAAATGGATTAAACTACAATAGAAACAAAGCGTTTCTTCTGCTTTGTTACAATTTTCTATGACATTTTAAGGTACACAGTCCCAAAAACGCGACGTTTGCTTCTTGATATTTGGTTTGACCTAATGCCACTTGTGACGTCGTATCTCGTACAGGGCTTTCGGGACGTGTAATGTGTGTGTAATTATCATACAACATTAATGATAAATATTTATAAATTTACAACCATATCCTATTATATTTACAACGAGTAAAAAAGGAAAAAAATTCAAACTAAAGCAACTATTAAACTATTTTATTCATAATGATTGAAAAAGGGAAAAATTAAAACTAACGCAATATATACAAATCTATAGAAACAATGATCCGTTATTACTGAATTTAGTAGACAAGTACGTCTTAAATGATCTTTTAAAACTCGAGATGGTGTTGGACTTCCGAATTTCATAGGGTAGTAAGTTCCATTCTCTTATTATTTTTAATGAAGGAGATGGTTTTAGACGTGTGATGAGATAGAGGATAAAGAACATACACGCCCAGGATGATGTTCATTAGAAAATTAAAGTGCAGCACAGAATACTAATGTCGTCAGGGTGACTAATTTGCCATGTTTGTCTGAAATTTGCCGTTTTGTTATTTTCATGACAAAAGTCAGAGAAACTTGACATTTCAATGACAAAAAGACAAACAAAATTGAGGAATTTGTTTGTCTGAGTTAGAGGTCTATAAATAATACCTGTACGCAGCCCTATTGCGAATGGAGAGAAGATATTTTTTTAAACAAAAGTAACGTAATTATACCTGTCGTCTTTTGTTTCTGAGCCACTGAAGAAGATCTCCGTTTGGAACATATTCCATGATTAACATAATGGGAGGTGATTGGATCCAGTACCCTAGCATGCTCACAATATTACGGTGTGTTCCGACTTCCTTCATCAGCCCAATTTCCCGAACTAACTGCCGTTTGTCCTCCTCCGTGGCATTTTCTAAAAGACAAAAGACATTCAAAGAAAATCCAGGTAACCGTGACCTACGTATAGGCTACACGATATCAGTTAGTACTAAACAACTAAAACCAGATGTAAAGAAAAAAAGAACTAATTAAAATGAAAGTATATTTGACCTATGAAAATAAAACACAGTCAATAGCTTAGGTATTAATTTCTGCTTGAGAAAAAATATCTCTTTGCTAAAAAAATGGTTCCCTAAGTTAAGTGACGTAGATAAAACAAAGTCTCAAAGAAAAACCGTTAGTTCTCTTCATCTAGCGATCACCAAGCACGACATGTAACATGATGTAATACTGGATGATCTTTTAGTCCGGAAACTTGTCTTTTTAATTCTAGATGCCACGTTTTGTGCTCTTTAATTGCTTCCCTATTCTCGACCCACAGGCACTTCATCTCCAGTCATATGACTTTCCTTAAGGACATGGAGGTTTACGGTATCGCGGTTTTGAGCTTTTTTTCAGGCGGTATTTCGGTAATTTTGATTTTAATGTCCGGTATTGCGGTATCATCCAGCCCTGCGGTATGTGGTTTTTCATCCTTCTGGCTAAGGGTACTCGGTAAAAGAAGATCCTTCCTGGTATTGCGGTACCGTTCATTTGGCCTCTCCTGTCTAATGTAAGTCAATCAGTTTGGAAGACTTTAGACTTAACGGTAAATGAATACAAAAATTCCTGACGGCTACTCTATGATGAAATTAGTAGGACATCCAATAACCAGGCTTTTCGATCGTTATACGGATCAATTCGGATCTCACGTTTTCTCGCGAAGACTAAGGTTAATTTCTGGTGTATACATGCTTGAGATAAAAAATACGCGAGACGGATACAACGTTAAGTAAGCGTGACCGATCATAAATGCAGTATCGGTATTTCGTCGATTTTCGACACGGTATTTCGGTATTTGCCAATTTTTCCTACGGTATTACGTTATTGGATACCCCCCAATGTCCCCCTCCTTGAGAGTACATTTGTAATCCTAACGTATCTATCCAATTGGCTCCCTTTCATTGACTCTGCGTAGACAGAGTATGCTTTTGTAGTTGGGTTTCATCAAGTGTTTTCGGCTGACCGTCATCGTCATCATTGTCATCATCATCATTATCATCATCAAGCTCTAAGGCGCTTTACAAAAAATGTTTTCAACCTAAACGACTAGAAAGCAGTAACTCGTGACATTACAAAAAAGAAAAATTGTTAAACAAAACTAAGAAATAAAAATAACGCTTAGAATTTTTTTTAAAGCTTTAACGAATATTCAAACTCCATTTTACACTGTAAGTGCTCTGGAGAATCATTCTAAAGTTTACGACCACAAAACGAAAACTCATGATCATTCGATAAAATTTTAACCTTGATCTGGGTGTCACTAACAAGTTCATGGTTGATGATCGTAGACTCCTAACAGGCTTGTAAGGTTGAAACAAATGACAATTATAGGTCGGACTTGAATGATTTAAAATCCACCTCTCATGCTCCAGGGGAAGCCAATGTAATTCTCTAGGTAAAGCAGTAATGTGGTCATATTTACAACCACACACGATCAGAGAAAGTCCTCAACTGACTAAAACCTGTGAATAACGTATTTCGGAAGACTACAGAAGAGAATCCGAACGACCAATCTACACATTACGAAGGCATGCACTAACATTTTGGTTTAATAATTTGATATCGTGTCACAGCCCTGAGGAGTAATTATGCGGACTGCACTGTTTTGCAATTTTTGACTAAAATAGCCCTATATTCAGGTTAACCCATTCAGCGTCATAGTAGCGAAAGATAGGCTAGATTAAAGCGCCCTATACTTTTCAATACATTTAATGACACATAATCTTGAGTCTGCCCAAGACCACTTATAACCTTGGAGCACACCTTATCAATGTACTGATCCCACTGAAGGTTTTTATGTCTACATTAATATATTCATTACAAAACATCTAACTGACAGTTGATTTAGCGGAGGCCCGCGGCGACACTTAAGTATTATAAGCATGCAGTTTTGGTTTAGTAAATTGCAAACACTCAGGGAGGTCATTATATACATAGGAAAAAATAAAGGACTTAAAATGGACCCCTGAGGTTCATCACCCTGTTACGGATTGGGGTATTGAGATTCTGTTTTCCACAATATAATATTTGCTGTCTATCGGATTAAGTAATTCAAACCTTTAAGAGTCATTCCCGTAAATCAGTTTAGCATTGAGACGTCTGTTGAAAGAGTAAATCATCGTTTTGCCATATTCTCAATTCACGCACCTGGTAGAACTTTTGTAGCAACAATACGTCCCTCATGCGAATCCAAAATGTGATCCTTGGGTTTGGAGGATGTCATCTTTTCAGGTAGCCTCCTCATCACGCTCTTATAAACTGTTCCAAAAGCACCTCGTCCCAGTTCCTCCATGGTAGTAACCTGTTCGGGTGGGACTTCCAGCAACATAAGCTCAGTTATGTCGGACTCACTGGATCAAAGTGCAAATTAAATGTAAATGAAATTTCTCATCATTAATCATGGGCTTGTGATAATGCTTAAATCAGCGACGGCTTCCTAGTTGATACCATTTAGTCAAAAGTTACACTGCCTTGGCCCGTGAGAAAGGTCACTTGTGGCTTGGGAGTGAGTACGACACCAGACAGACATGCTCAGACACTTACATAAAAACAATATCGCCTATTTCCGCATGTAAGTTTTTATCATGGAACAATTCAGCAACAAAGCATAATATTCTAAATTTGAGTGATATTAACATTTGAATGAAATACCGCTTATTCCTCTTTGCTCTATTACGGTAGACAATTGTCCCCACCACCACAGCAGAAAGAGCCACGGAAACTCCCAACATTATCCAGGCAATCTGTGCAGTATCACTTTTAGCGATAGGGGAGCCTCCCGTAGGATCACTTTTACTGGTAAGAGGCTCTCTGGTCACTGAGGGATATAAGCAATCATAAATGTTAAGAACTGTAACAGTTATACACATTGAAAAAGTAGCTTTAATGATTAAGTAGCACCCGGGGCGCTTATTCAAGAGATGGGAGCTCTTCCTTGAAAAGGGTACAAATATATAGATTCGCGTGTAATTTTTTTTTCTATTGTTTTCAATAATTACAATTACAAGAATAATGGCAGACGCTATCGGTTAGGCCAAAAGGCAAAGAGAAGCTTGATAACGCAACAGTTTTGTGTTAACAGAACAACGACTTTCCACGTGCAACACGCTTTTTTACACCCTTGCCTTACCTACACCCTTGCCTTGTAAGGTGGATTGCTGCTTTCCTTCAAGGTCGTTCACAGTCCGTTCGCCTAGGCTCCGATTCTTCTAGTATCCGCTCCCTGAATGGAGGTATTCCCCAAGGGACTAAATTGGGGCCTGTAATGTTCTCTGTTATGGTCAACGACCTAGTGAGCACATGGCCTAAGCGCGCAAAATACGTGGATGATCTGACGATTCTAGAAATCACCCCTAGAAACTCTCCATCATATTTGAATTGTATTGTGGCCTTAATCCAGGCGGAGTTGTTATCGAGCGCGTCAAATCCTTTAAACTTCTCGGAGTTTTTATTTCTGAGGATTTGACTTGGGGTGTTCACTGTGACTACATAATCAAAAAAGCCAATCGTCACCTCTATGCACTTAGAACTCTAAAGAAGTGCGGCTTGCCGACATTAGACCTAATCACAGTATATTGCTCCCTTATACGATCAGTAATTGAATACGCCTCGGCTGTATTCGCGAATCTGCCAAAGTATTTGTCTGATGCGTTGGAGAGAATTCAAAAGTGCTCCCTTAGGATAATTCTTCTGAATTTACATTATGACGAGGCATTGATATTAAGTGGCCTGCCGTCTTAAGAAGGCCGTACGGCTACTGCTTTCGAATCATTTATGCGTAATTTAAAACCATCCAATCCTGTGTTTGGCCTTGCCATGAGTGGAACGGTAACTACCGTTCACTCGTACTCGTTACGAAGCTGCCGGAACTATAATAACAGGTAGGAACCATTCAATAAACTCAGTGGTAGAACTATTACTAAAACATTCCCAAAGGAAGAAAAAAGTATGAAGTATTGCAAACATATAGTATTCATGCTGGTATTATTATGATTGTGATTATGATTATTATGATGATTATGATTATGACTATGATTATGATTCTGATTCTGATTCTGATTCTGATTATGATTATGATTATGATTATTATTATGTCGCAGTATGAAACTTTGGGATGCTGTCCACATTATGAGTAGTATAGGGCGTATAGCGTAACCTACACCACTTGAGAAGCTATACTTAGAAATAAAAAAAGGTCGATACGAAACCTAATACGATCCTAAAATACATAGTGATATGAATCTCTCTACTTAAAAAGCCAATTTAGAATATTATTAAATTCTGATACTCTGTAAAACCTTCGCTATCTCTACTAAAA